ATTTTTGCATGCGAATAATATTGTCTTGGGTATCATTTTTTCTTACTGGCACTCAGTAATGTAATGTTAGCTCTTCATGGTTCTCTCCAACTTGATTTGCTGCTGTCAGATTGCTTCAAGCAAAGTTGATCTGGGGCATTAAGTGTTGTCTTTGTCTGATATTGAATGGCATTAATGTTAGTTGATTCGGAAATGAAGGGAAATTATTTGCGGCACACCTTTTTAAAGCACAGACATTTAGTCTTTGGGCTTGGCATCAAGTATTTTCAACTCAAAAGGCTGAAGCCCAAGTAAAATCACAAGTCATTGCTGTTAGAGTCTAAGTTGGGTTAAAAGTCTTAAATTTTGTCAGTCTTCAGATTTTTGACTTGAGTACAAGTCCACACTTCTGGGTTCTATGGGTGGGTGCTATACACAAAAACCAGACAAATATGTTTTAATGTCTTTAATTTCCCAACAACTAAACAATCCTCAGCATATTTTGACATAGTAACAACAGCACTTTCATGTTAGTCAGCAGTCCTGACGAGATGTTGAGTTTCACACCAGTAAGCTCAGGAAACTTTTTTGGGCATCAAAGCTAAATTCTTCTTTGGTCTTGACCAAATGTGTCCAGAGCAGTGAGAGAAGAACATTCAAGTACTAAAAGCTGCCATCAAATGTGTTCAAAGGCAGAGTATCTCGTCTGTTTGATCAGACAGCTCCTGATTTATAGTGCGGATTCTTGGCACAACTTTACCTTCTTCAAAGGTGCAGGTGAAAAGGTACAAACTCTAGCAACGACTTTATTATGAGACCAATATGTCTCAGCTTGTGGTTTTCATCTGGGTCATCACACAACACATCAGTAAGAACATTTATTATCTTATAATTGTTGCTGGAATTATTACTGTTTTATAGAAATCATGTTCATATTTCTCAAAGTCATGTATCGATTTCAGGTATTGTACTTGCACCAGTATTGATATTCAGCCCTTATAATATCTGTATGATTGGTGTTACTTTACAGAAACTGGTTTATGTCATCCGTAATAAATCAACCTCTGAAATATGATATGATATGTACTTCATTGTGAAAGATAAATCTATCAAATTCTGAGTCTCTGAACCCTTAAGCATGCACCATAGACAGTACTGACAACATGACAGCTCCCCAGAACTGAAGCCAAAACATCTTGATCGCCCCCTGGTGGCTGGCTGCAGTATAGGTCATAAACCCCACCCCCTCCATGTTAGTGGATGGGACATGAGTCAAACTAAAAGACGCAAGTACACGTCAGATAAATTTCCCAAAGATGGTGTCTGTCATTTTAGGTAGTTCTTATCAGGCTGATGTGTGTTCAAATGCGTGTTTTCCTGATCAGCTTGGTTCTAATGAGTTATCTGATGCTATAAAAAGGGTGTCTGATGGCATGATTGACAGGTGTGTGGGCCAATCAGTGTGCCTGTGATTAATGAGGCTGCTTTTGATTGGGTTGGACGGCTGTATAGGTGGAAACTTGATACTACCGAGATCGCTACTGCAAGGAGCTGGCTCCAAATGACATCAGCTGTACCATTGTGTACTGGATATTTTGGCTTCATTTTTGTTCAGCGGGAGCTACTGCATGTACACAGTACGAGATGCTACATCACTTTTTACCTTGGGTATGTTGTCACAATCAGTGGTTCAAAGACAAAATGAAATTTAAAAAATATATGCCACAATTATTTTAAATTGTTCTGATATTAAAAGCACTCTGTCTTGATTCTTTTGATGATTCACCTTGAACTCATCGGTCTACATAAATGTACCCAATCATAATAGGATTAGGGTTAGCCTTACATACAGTACGGCAGCTAAGGCAATATCATATCAATATCAGGTGGTGTATATTTGGATTTCAGGTTGCAATTCAAAATTTTACTCAGCCCACAGATTCCTTTTCACTTGGAAACATGTGACATTATTGAAGCTGCAGACACTCTAACTGCTCCTCCCCTGTGACTTCAACTGTTAACAGTGAAGTTAACATGTCCGATGCTGCAAACCTCCCATAGAGCTCTTAATTAAGCTTAAACCCTGCAGGCATTAATAAATGCTATCTGGCCCTTGGCTGTGCTGCACGATAGAATAGATTGCCATTCTATGTAATTATGGCCTTTATGCACTTGATCTATTGAATTTCCCCCTAAAGAGAAAAACTCATTCTTAACTGCAGTCCAGAGACACAACACTGAGACTGAAAGCTTAGTCAGTTGAATTATTTCAGCTAATGCAGAACATCCTCCGAGTCTCTAATGCAATTCAGCTTCAAACGGAAGGATGCAGTGATATAAAATTACACCATGAGACCTGCAGAAACCACACAGCACAGATAGTATGTTACAGACACAGAGTTTTTTTTAACTTTATAGCCGCAGAAGCACAACATATTAACTTACAGCGCAATACACAAACAACAGACACTCTCAAAGTGTGTGTGTGTGTGTGTGTGTGTGCTGTAAGTGTTTGTTTGCACTAATTGAACCAAAGCCTGGCTGTCTGTCTGGTATTTCAAAAAGCTCATAGAGTTTACACAGAGGACTACGTCTGACTCTAAGATCTCCCACTTGCTTTGATTGACAGCTGATTATCACAGATTTCACACAGAAAAGAGAATATGAGAGTGTGTATGTGTCTGTGTGTGTGTGTGTGTGTGTGTGAGCGATCACTCCCGTCTCCTCCCACTGTCCCAACCACACGGTCTATTTCTGGAGAGGAAGTGAGGAATTTATTCTGCATCGCTGATGATGAATGCTTTGAACTATTATCAGAACACTGAGGAAGAGCTGAAACAACAGCTTGTCTCTCCTTGTTTATTCCCTGTTAAATTCTTTGTTTGTACTGAAGAGGTGGATGTGTGGAACATAAGGGAGCATTATTAAGTAGGTGGTTGATTTGTCTTGTGGGTGGCAAGCGGGAGGACATTTCGACTGTAATCTGACTACAAATACAGTCGGCTTAGTACCAAGTAAAGGTGATGTTAAAGCGATGAAACCACCGCAGTTCAGCCACGCCCTTTAAGTTTCTTGAGTGTGATTATGTTTTTTTTTTTGTTTTTTTTTAACTAAACACTTCGGTCAGCATGCTAACATTCTCACAATGACAATGCTTACATTTCAAATTTTAGCAGGTATAGGGATTAATCATAGACTGTCACCGTGACATCACCCATGGTTTGTGGACTCCCATTTTGAAGCCTTGAAGTTTGGCATTTCGGCCATTGCCATCTTAGTTTTATGGAGCCAGAGGTGCCTTTATTTGGATGAGAAGGTGGAGCTGTGGATGAGCTAGGGGTGGTTCTGACTGAGAACCCAAAGACTGCCATGGTAGCAACGTACAATTCGTAAGGTAGCCACGCCCCAAAACATGCCCTGCTTCATCGTCTATTTCACTCTAACTGAGACTATAATTTACAAAATAGAAACCAGCAATTGAGACCATAAACTCATTAGGGAAATGTTTATTGAGGTAATAAATCAAGTGAGAAGTGGGGTCATTTTCTCATAGACGTCTATACAATCAGACTTATTTTTGTAATCAGTGGACTTGCCCCCTGCTGGCCATTAGAAAGAATGCAGGTTTAAAGCACTTACTGGCTGGAAAATTCTGCAGTCAACATTACCTGCATTCAATCCCTTTTGTACCCCGAACTAGAAAAAGTGAGTGGTGGTGTCTGGTGGCATTTTATGGAACCAAATACTTCCATTCACATGATGGTATCACATTAAGTATCACATTTTTTTTTTTAGTTTTGTCTCTTTCTTTTTCTTTGGTGTTGCTACCACTGTCGCTATTGTTGTTGTTTGAATTTGTTTTGTTTACATCTGCCTGTTTTATTAATCACTGCTTGTTGCAAGCAATTCCACTGCTTGTTATCTTTATATTTGTATTTATATTTGTTTTTACGTATATATATTTGTATGCACTAAATGGTGAATAAAGGAGAGAAAAAAGAAAAAAAAGTATGAAAAAAAGGAACTCAATGAAGGTACTGCTATTGGTGCTGGTATTACTTTTTAAAAAAAAAAAAAAAAAAAAAATGACACCCAGCCCAAAATATGAATTTAGAAAATTTCTTAGAAAATAAAGCTTAATAAAAAGCTAAATCATCCTCAGGTTCTGAGGTTGCATTTCAGCCAATGCATTCCGACTCTTATGCTTTCAACACAGAGTTTTTACCTGGATGCAACCAAAGCCGACTCAAACAGAAACCAGAATGCTTCCAATACCAAAATCTTAAGCCTGTGCAGATTTAATATACTAGTATCAGTTTTTAGCGATAACCTGAGCAGCACCAATCAACAACCAGAAAAAGTTAGCGACTAGCTGGTGAACAAAGTTGAGCATTAAGAAGCTCCAGAGCCAGATATTTCCCTCAGGAGTTGGCGAAGGCCAAAACAGAGCTAAATGTAGAGTTCTATTGTCAGATGGCCCGAGACATACCTCTGACTGAATGCTAATGTCGCTCTGTGTCTGCTGGATGTGTAAAGGTCCATCTGTTTGCTAACACATTAGCCATAACAACTATGTCGGTTTTATTTGTTTAAAGCCTGTTCTGGCAGCACCAAGTGGCCAATGAATAACTAAATTGATTTATGCTTTAAAATCCATCTCTCATATCATTACTACACAAGTAACTACATGTGTAACTGAAAAACTATCTGTAACGTAACGAGTAATGTGATGAGCACAGAGTGCTTATGGAATAAACTGCTTAACTGTTTGTTATAGAAATAAAATGTTCTATTTATTCAAATAAGAGTGCTCTCATTTTAGTGTAGGGCGTCAGATTGAAATAATGACTATAATGACTATAATAATGACTAATCTACCAGTTATAACAAAGTAAAGTATAAATGGCAAATATAGTGAAGTAAAAAGTAGATTACTGGCTCAAAAATACACTGTAAGAGATGGTAATTTTTTTTGTGACGAGTGTTGATGTCCGTGCTCTCTGGATTAACCCAACTCTTACCCGTGACAGCTCAGACTCGGAGACAGAGCGGTGTGGCGGCGAGCGGCGCTGGTACATGGGGGGGCTGACATCATGGTAGCTTGGGCTGTCGTCGTCCAGCAGAACAGGCCCCGCATCCACCGACTCCTCCTCTTCCTCCAGCTGTGACGTCATGTCCTCCGGGCACATCTGGTGGTCGATGCCATTCTGGCTCAGGTTGCAGTGAACAGCTGTGTGGGCAAGAGGGGGAAAAAATAACTAATGAGCGGTGCAAAGGGTAAAAAACTACACAAGTATATTTCCTGAAAGTATAACAAATTAGTACCTTTTAAGTATAAACTAAAATCACATTAAACTCAAACCACTTGTATTTCACTGTAGAAACGCTTAAAAAAAATGCTTTTCAGTACTTTTGGCTTTCAAAGCAGCGTTATATGATCTGTTTAATGGTATCCATAATATATTTTTCAAAGATTTCTTATTTAAGGTGATTTCCAGCTGCTTTTTACGCTGTCAGCTGATGATGTTTCCATGTGAGGGCATGTTGAACACACCAGGTTCTTCCACACTGAATGCTGTACTGCTAAATGTCCACTAGATGGCAGCAGATAATTCTACACAGTGGATGAGTAGCCACTGAAACCAAGGCTCAATTCAACACTACAAGCTGATACCATGCAGACTGTGATATAGTGTGCACTGGTTGCAGACAATATTCAAGAACTCAGTGTATTTAACCATCAAATGACACTAGAAAATAATAATAAAGATACAAGTTGTTTAAGATGAACTGATGAACCAAGCTATTTTTATTATCAAATAATTGCTTTAGTCACGGTTTAAAGCAAAACCCCAAACATTTGCTAGTTTCATGGTTATTAAATGCAAGAATTCGATGCTTTTCTTTGTCATACACGATAATTAACTGAATAGTTTGGGATTTTTTGACTGTAGATAGGATACAACATACCATTTGAAGATGTCACCTTGGGCTCTGGGAAATTACACACAGTATTTTCTGATATTTTATCAATACAGCATTCAATTTATTGAGAAAATAATTGGCAGATTTGTTAGCTGCAGCCCTATACTGCCATTTGAAAACTTGAGGCAAGACTCTGGAACTCTTGACATTCTTACTATTACAAATATAAAGTTCAATTAATGGGCAATAAAAGACAACCTCATTCAGTTCAATACACTCTTTGGTTTGGCTGCTTTAGCCTTATCTGGTTCATATAACCTGCAGCTGTTGATGTCTAATGTTAGCAAACTTTAGACAGGTGTAATTAGTGAGTCAGTTCTCTGACTTTATGACTCCTACGATAAATCTACATTTTACCAATATCCTGTCGTTTTTGACCTGGCTGCTCTTCAGCAAAGTTCTAAAAATGTCCTAAGAGGAATATTTATAAAGCCGTCTCACCACTGTGTTTATTTTTTCACTTTAGAGGAGTTCCTTCTTTTCTGTTGTGCATTGCAATGTAAGACAACAGTGTCCAAAAACATGATTAAAAAAGTCAAATCAGTTTAGCTTGCACACTATCATCTTTGAGTATTTTGCTTTTTCTAGTTTCAACACATCTTTATTAAAAACCCAGAATTAGCATCCAGTATATGAACACAAGCGTAATGCATTCAGTTAAAAAAAAATTCTCTGATCATGTCTGAATCAACAGGATAATTATCTCAGAAATGTAAGAAAACTTTTCCTGAAAAAAAGATGCTAATTTTTCTGAATTAACAAGAGAATAATAACTTTGGTAATTCAGGAAAATGAGAATTTACAAGACTCTTATTTCATTCATTCAGAAAACAAGAGCAGATTTTTTTCCATTAAAACTTTTTTACATTTCTGAGATAATGATCTTGTTAACTCAGAAAAACAGGGCATATTTTTTCTGAAGTGAATGAATAACACCTCTGTAGCACTGGAACACAGCTTGACTTTACACTAGACACACTTTACACAGCATTTATATCAAATCCACAGATACAAATAAATACACTATCTTTGTGTAGACTTTTTTTTTGCATAAATTGCAATGTTAACCGTTCACAACCCATAAGGTGGAACTTTCTCGGCCATCGTAACCTGTAAGTGATAACTTAGTGATACAACAAAATCGTTAGCAGAAAGAAGCATCTATTTAAGTGACAGTGATCTTCTTCGCTGAAAAGCAAAACAAAAAGCTGAGCCTTGGTGAGAGATAGTTTTACAGCTCTAAATCCATGCAAAACTCTTACTTATTACAACAAATTGGCAGTCAAGTTCAAATTCAGGCAGACAACTTAAAAATAGAGACTTTAAATCCACTGAGTCAATTCTTATCCAAGTGAGAGAGATTGTGTGTCAGTGGAGGCGGTATATTATAGACTGGAGCTTTTAGAAGATGAAGGACAAAAGTCAAATATCAGCAGAAGACTCCATTCCTTCTTATAAACTTGTACCGCTCTGCTTTGCCGTTGCCTCCATGAAGCGATTATTTTTAGTTTTGTTTTTCATAGGAAGCGTCAGACTCAGGCACTATTTTAGTCTCATCAGCCACTGATGCGGGCGCAGAAGTGACAGCCAGCAGTGAGTTGTAAGGTGTCACTGAAATAGGCCGTTTGTCATCATGCAATCTGCCCACTTGTTCTAAAAACACAGACGGCTCATTTATGTGGAATGGGAGCCAAAGACCCTTTTCATCACACCTGAAGGCTGCTGTGGCGGCTGCTGCTGCTGCGGATTAGAGGTCGGAGCAATGTTTTTCAAAAGGTTTAGTTTTCCTGAATGGTCTGAAGAGAGCAAGAAAGAACTTGAAAACCAGAGCAGAAGATCTACAAGAAAAGCATCAAGGCGTACACGGATCAAGACACACTGACAGACATTAATCATCTGTAACCAAACACTTAAAGGTGAAGTTAGCTCTAGGCACATGTGATTACAGGCAATGAGCTGTATAAATGTCTACAATAAATAAATGTATTTATGTCCCTGATGGTGTTGGTTGGGATCAAAAGATGACGGCCAAATATCGGCCAAACTAAAAATTTCAGTCTGTTTCCTGGCAGGCCCAGCAAGCCCAGGAAAACAGCCAATTAGTGCCTTCTGTCAGGCCACTGTCACCGAGCAATTACAACAACTCTGACACAGTTCAGAATGATCGGAACAAGACAACAACAACAATCGCAACATCATCTGTGCTGTCAGTCCAAATAACAGGAGCAAGAGGGTGAAAACTACTGTATAGGTGGTCCTGTCCTCCTTCGACATGCCGTACATCTCAAAAACAAAGTAGGGAAGTTGGTATCATTCAGTGTATGAATGCACCGCAGGCTGCATATATTCAAAGCAAAACCTCTCCGAGAGACGTCCTCCCCCATGACTTAAATCACACCGTCCTCTCAGGATTGTTTTGAAAATGTTTCACGTCTCTCACTGCTTTTTCTGGGGAATCGGGAGTGTTTGGTATACGTACCGTCAAAGGGATTCTGTTGAATGATTGGAGATGTGTGGGGAGTGGAGATGACGGAATATGCCTCTGAGGTCACACACTGAGAGAATGCCAAAGAGTAGTACTACGTCAGTACAATTCTGAGTAGAGGTGAGTGATACAGCTAAAATCTTCTATCACAGTATATGTAATTTCAAATCACAGTAAAATAACCACATTTGATTATTTTCTTTTTTTTTATGTGTACTTTATACTTGGGGGAGAGTTACTGCCTCAAGCGAGGGAGTTCAAGTATCTCCGAGTCTTGTTCACGAGTGAGGGTAGAATGGAGCGTGAAATGGATCGGCGGCTCGGTGCGGCTTCTGCAGTGATGCAGGTGTTGCGCCGATCCGTCCAGGTGAAGAGGGAGCTGAGCCGGAAGGCAAAGCTTTCGATGTACTGGTCCATCTACGTCCCAACCCTCACCTATGGTCATGAGCTCCGGGTAGTGACCGAAAGAATGAGATCACGGATACAAGCGGTGGAAATGAGTTTCCTTTGTGAGGTGACTGGGCTCAGCCTTAGAGATAGGGTAAGGAACTCGGACATCCGGAGGGAGCACGGAGTAGAGCTGCTGCTCCTTCGCATAGAAAGGGGTCAGTTGAGGTGGTTCCGGGCACATCCCACTGGTAGGAGGCCCTGGGTAGACCCAGAACATGCTTGAGAGATTACATATCTCATCTTGCCTTGGAACGCCTTGGGGTCCCCCAGGAGGAGCTGGAAAGCTTTGCCAGGGAGAGGGCTCTGAGGTTCCTAAGAACAGTCATTTCAAGTGTTACAGGTTTCTGTATTTACAACTCCTCCACCAAATTTGCAAATCACATTACCTTGTGAGGTAGCTGGATTCACAAGATCACAAGACTCAAGAGATCACGCAATGATCATGAGATCATATGAGAATATGGCCCTGAATGGTTACATCTCCTGCCCTGAATAGCTCCCATGGTAGAAACAGTATTGTAAAATTTCTACCAATGAACACATTTCTGCTGTCACGCAGTATAAACCGTCACATCACCCAACCCTAATTTTAAGGTACAGGACTTGTACTTAACTCAAATGTTTCTTGTTTGTTAATTCTTCTACTCCGATACATTTCAAAGGAAAATACTGCACTTTTCACTCCGCTATATTTCTTTGACAGCTATATTTACATGGTACTTTCCAGATCAAGGTTTTATCTGAAAGACATGACATGATAATATGTCCGCTAAAATACAAAACTTTCTATAGGACTTGTGACTCCTACAAAAAAGCAGCGTCGCAGTGTTGGTTTGGGTGATGTTTCAGATGTCCACAAGCAGTTCCACCAAAGAAAAATTTACCTTCTAAACATTCAGAGCAGCAAATATAGCAGCGAGCCACTATTTAAAATGTAACTGGCTTATTCATCGCCACTGCTTTGCACTGCCCCGCTACGGAGGTGTAGCTCCCACCCTCTGGTTCCCCCTGGTTAACACTGTTACCTCTCTCAGCACTGTTACTGTTGTTCAGCGCTGTTTATGGAGTAAGCACTGTAAGCTGCTAGCTGCTAGCTCAGCCACCTCCATTCTCCAAGCCCTCAGCTTTATATTATGACTCACTGAAGGTGGACACGGCCCAGTCAACATTAAAAAAAAAAAAAAAAAAAAAAACTACATTAGCTCCATCTCAAGCAGCTTCAGCAGTAAAATGGGACTTATGCACCGACTTATGCACGGCACTAGTGTTAACAATCTAATATTGTCTGAGATATGTTGATATCAGTACCA